ATATATAGGCGGCATGAAATAATTGCAAAAATATTGTTTTGTTGTACTTCGTTTTCCATACGATTTACTCGGAAGAGCTATATTCTTCCCAGATTTTTTAAAATAATTTTTTATAATGATTTTTAAGTTAAAGGCGATTTTGTTATGGTTGTTGATTATTTCATATGCGATGTATTGATTGGTGAATGCGATGTTTACAGAAATGAATTTGTACCATCTTTGCTTGTTGTTTCGACGCCAAACCGTTTGTCTGATTCTTCTTCCGGGGAAGTACCTTCCGCTGCTCATCTCCCTACCTCGCAGCAGCCTTCGACCATTGCTAGCAACCTCACCCCGCCGGAAGGCAATGAAACATCATTCAGGCGCACATCGCCACGCAAAACTCCCAGCTTCACTACTCGACGACGGAGCAGTTTGAAGAAGGTGAGGTGTTTCGAGGCGCTTCGCTCTTCTCCTATGGCCGTTATAATGACCAATTTCAAATCTGTTTTTGCTCTGTTCAGGTGCCGCGTTTCGAGAACATGCAGTCGATCGAAAAAGACGGTTTTCTAGAACGAAAACAAGATCTGCAGAATGGCGGTAAGCGGGCTACCATCCGCTCATGGAAGACCTTCTACACGATTCTGTGTGGCCAGCTGTTGTGCTTCTTTAAAGATGAGGATGCATTCATCGACAATATGGCTGCCTCGCCCCCCGTTTACATTTTAAATGCCGTCTGCCAACCGGCTCCCGAGTACCAAAAGCGGCGAAACGCGTTCAAACTTCAGACCACTGACGGCGCTGAGTTCCTCTTCGTCTGTTCATCTGAGGAAGAAATGAAAGTAAGCAAGCTAATGTCCTTGATGGCTCTCGAGCATCACCGAAGAAGAGAGATTAAGATTTTACATCGAGCTTTTAGGCTATAACAATTATCAAGCAAAAAATATTTTTCTGCAAGACATGTACAAGGTTTTCGCCAGACATGATACAGATGCCAATATATGTGAAATTAATGGTAACATTACGCCGATTTCTAATGCCTAGACTTCCATTGCCTATTCAAAGCAGGATTCTTTAAAACCTTGGCATTGTTGACGGTTGCTGACTTTGAAAATGGTTCATTTATGGGTAATTCTGCCATTTGAGATGTACCTGTACGAAACTGATTGATGTAACTGGCGGTAAAAGTCAATAGTCGTTTAGAAACTTCTGAAAATTTTTCAGTATTATGAAAGCTATCAGCAGTATTTGAGCAGGATTGTATGAAAGCAGTATGGATGAAAGTATGGTTAGTGGCTTGTCGCAATTCCAATAATTTATATGAAAATGAAACTGTGATACCAGTGACGTTGTCGGTCTTTTCAGTCAGCTATGCGTAATCGAAGTTTCTATTCACATTGTGTAGGATGTACAGTAATCTTGTGAAGTAATACCAGGGAGAAGTGCGATGACTGTAATGATATTTTGAAATTAGGAATGCATTTACATCAGTATTGTGCTAAGTTAGCCACATATAACACTGATTCGGTTAACTCTTTAGTTTCGAGGAACGTGTCCCACGCGTTAACAGCATATGGCTATTTTCATAACTAATAACAGCAGCACATTAAAACAGTTAAACATTGTAAACAACGTCTAAGCCTTTTGATGTTCTATTGAATTCTTCCGTTTCAGGATTGGGTTGCGAAAATCTCCTTTCACGCTTCTTTGCCACCGTCTATGCAGCTGCATTCATTCAGCGATCGACATAAAATTGATAGCGGCAGTATTTCGTTGACTAACACGCCAGACATCGCTGCAGTCGACATGCCTTCGTACGTGACAAAACTTGACATATCTGCCTCCACAAAGACTGACAGCGGATTTGTCACATCATCAAAAGTGGTCACCGGTGAGTTGCCGACTTATTTTACCGCATCTTTTTCTTTTCTTACTTTGGTCTTGAACTCGTAGAATCGTCTCCGCATTTGTCCTCATCGCCGTACTCGTTAAGAAGCCGTCGCAGCGTTGGCGCCTCACCCGGGACAAACAGTTTAGGTATGGTTGTTTTGATTGTTTCTTATGTTTTTACCGTATGATACTTTTCTGCGGCCTTTCTTCTTTTGCATTTTCGACATTTGTCGGAGCTTTTCTACTTCAGCGCTTACCTCATCGCCCTCCTATCTTTCAGGTTTTATTCAGGAAGTCAGTGATGAAAAAGTAGTCGACGCCACGTTGCTACCTTACGATGCCGGTAAGACGATTGTGCTCTGAGCATTGCTTGAGCTTATGAGATCAGGGTTGTGGTTCTGGGTGTCTGCGTCTGCACCTAGTTGCTCGATGCATTTGA